TTTATTGTTTAGCTACAATATTAGACCCTAGGATTAGGAAAGATGGTTTAGATATTTTACTTGAATCATATTGTGAAAATATAAATATTGAAATAGGAAATAAAAAAGAAGAAATTAATAATTTGTTGCTCATGGATGATGCCTAACCTTGGACAGGTTATTGAAAAGACAAATGCCCTTCGAGCTCTCTTTGCTCCCTTTGCAATGCTGCTCCTGAATCCATAAGTAGAAGAGATTAAATAAGAAGAAATTAACAGCTTGTACAACATCTTCTACTTCTGATCTTGAGCCTAGTAGTAGAAGAGAAAAACTTTTTTAGTTAATAAGTAGAAGGCAGAAATCTGCTACTTCTACAAGTTCATTTACTGAACTTAACTTTTATTTACAAACAAATTTTTCTAATTTAGGTGAGTGAACAAAAAATTTTGATATTTTAGCCTGGTGGAGTGAACATTTAAAAAATTATCCAGTTCTCACCGCCCTGGCACGTGATTTACTAACCCCTTCAGTGTCTACAATTCCATCAGAGTCTTGTTTTAGTGCAAGCACCAGGGTTTTGGATGATAAGAAAAGCTGCATGAACGATGAAAGCATAGAGTTGTACATCTCCTTCAAGGATTTGCTAGATGCAGAAGATAGATTATAAGACAAAGGAGGGCATGGTACTACATCGGATATTTCACTTGAAGTAGATGATGAAAGTCATGATTCATGAAGTTGACTAGTCATATAGAATTTTTTATTTTTTTCAAATTATTGTAATTTTTTTAATTTTATTTAATTTATTTGCTATTTTTTTAATTTTTTAATAATGTAATTTTGTATTTTCAATTTGTAACTATATTGTATTTTTTATATTTTATTAATTTATTTCATTTTCATATTTCATTCATCTAACACCCAAGTATCCAATGATCCAATCATTGTATTTGTAATTTGTATCATTCAAATTTAAATGAAATAAAATTCCTATTTTTCTTCCAATTTGTTATTCCATCATTCTTATTTCAATTTGGTTAAGTATTTTTTTTCATTTATGTGTTAAATAACTTAAATTTCTCATTTCTTAATTTTTCAAATAGTTTCCAAAGTTCAAAGGAAAGTTAAATATTATAGTTTTACACTTTTACTTAGAAAATAAATAAAAAACTTCAAAAAAAAAAACAAAAAAGTCAAAAAAATCAATCTAGCTCGGTTTAACCCAGGCCCAAGGCCCGCCTTGTGACACAGCTTGGCACGACTAATTTTACACCTCTATACATACATACATACATATAAACTCAAATAAAAATTAAAAATATATATATATATATATATTTTAAAACATATTTTTAATTATACATCATGGGCTAACCTATTTGACTTCAAAGGTTGAACCATTAACCCACCCCTAGATAGGAAGATGGTTTAATTTCCCATCGGTTTGGAAGTTGTATATTTAATGTCCATCATTAATAAAATTATGCCTATTTTATCATAGTTATTTTTTAATATGACAAATATATTTTTTAAATTTGTATTATTTATTATGACATTATGAAATTATCCATTTGACCCAAATGGTTGAAGTACTTACCCATGAACTAGGTGGAAAATATGATTTCATTTCTAGGTTTATTTGACAAATATATAATAATAGAAATGTGTTTAATTTTTTTCATATTTTTTGTATTTATTATACTTTTAAATCTATATTATTTATTTATGACATAATGAAATTATCCATTTGACACAAATGGTTGAAGTACTTACCCACAACCTAGATGGAAAATATGATTCCATTTCTAGGTTTATTTTAAAATATAAAATTTCATTTTATTAATAATTATTGTGTATGGAGTAGTGGAATTTAATGCTGATAAAGAAAAGTATTTTTATATTTCTAAATTTTTATTATTTATTTATGACATCATGAAATTATCCATTTGACCCAAATGGTTGAAGTACTTACCCACCACCTAGATGAAAAATATGATTTCATTTCTATGTTTATTTTAAAAATATAAAATTTCATTCTATTAATAATTTTGTGTATGAATTTATTATTGTAATTTAATGGTGATAAACAAAAGTATAAATGTTGGATTCAATGGAGAATGTGATTTATTTAATGTCTTTAAATGTGAGACTTAATGAGAGGTAATTGAATGTACTTAATGGTATTCTTTTAATTACATTTTCTGTCTTTTCAAATGGAGATGAACTAAATTCAGGAGGAGGGGTATTTTAGTAAAGAAAAATTTCAGAATCCAATACCTCATCATTCACACTTTTATAAGTAGTATAGATATATATACCGTCTTGTGAGCTCTCAAACCTAACTGACACCTTTCAACATCACATTGGAAGAATTGACATCAACGCCCCACAGTCCATCCTAACTATGTATTGAAAACATCTCCCGTGACAAGTGTTCGCACACTCCTGAGATGTGCATCTGGGGTGCCAGTGGAGGCACCAATCTGAACTCATATCGGAATCAACGACTTCTCAACCACATTATTTTAGGATTTTTTCTTTAAAATTGATTGAGTTATGCACATAGCAGAACCAAATTATATAGCCAAGCTCCTTAATCCCATGAAATTAAAGAATACAAATATGGGATTAGGGTGGCAAAGTTATCAAATATTACTGCTTTCTGCACATCTAAGAAAGCTTCATACTCTGTATTTTATTAGTGAACGGTGACCCCGTAATTGAATGTGTATTTTGAACTATGTTTTTAACTTAGCATTTTCATTTTCTTTTGAGTAAAGGAAGGAAATAAAAAAGGAAAGAAAGCAAGTTCTTCATTAAGATTTGGTAGAAGAGGGACATAACAGAAAAGAACCAATCATATCTTCCTTCATATTTTATTTTATTTTTGCACAATCATAGATGCTAGAATCAAATACTAATGCTTCTTGCTGCATGTCTGAGAGCAACCATTGACACAGGCCTCCACTTCTTCTGCAGTGGTAATGGGGATTTTTCTCAGTACTGATGTTGGAGCACTTAGAATATGCACAACCCGATGTGCAGGGGTAATGGGGATCATTTCGAGAGGTTGGAATGCAGTGTTTCAAGCAACTGATAGCACATGGTTTGGGGGTGTGTTTGATAATAACACATAAACCAAAGCATGCCGGATAACATTCTGTAAAAGAGGCGGATACTGTGGTTGCAAGCATGACCAAGGCCAACACCATAATTGCCCTCATACTATTTACCCTTCATCATCATTCTTAAAAATATTAAACAAAACAAACCCTAAAGCTATTAGCTGATGAAACTTCACTGCAACTCTAAGCTCTATTCTGCTCTCTTCATCTCTCCAACCAGAACTAGATTTAGAGGAAGTTGAACCTGGTTGTCCAATGTTCTCATTAATCTACTCATTAATTTCGATGTAAGAGTAAGCTAAACCATATTTAGAAAATATAGCTGGTTAGTCTTAATTAAGTATGGCTAGCTTGCGGCAATATTGTGTTAGATTACCAACCTTTCAGCTTGTTTTTAATCTTGTCCACTAGAAATTTCCGGTCAGTTGTTAAGGACCTAGTACAGAACATGAGGCCTCCCAAGTAAACATTGTGTTTTCCCCAGAATAGCAACCCCCAACATGGATTGGATTCGTTCATAGGTCCTTCTATGAGTGTTAGACTGGAATAGATAGCTGATTTTTGAATGTTGTTTTCCTACCCTCAACACTTGCTAAAGGATTGTAATTGATCTTTTAAGATTTGAACTTCAGCCATGGAGCATTTTTCAAACATCAACACGTTGTCAACAAAGAGAAGCTGATTAATTCTCATTCCTCTCGCCAAATTTGACACCATGGACTTCTGTGTCCTCTAATTTGGACATCAGAAAATAACAAGAAAAAATATTTGTACATAAGACAAATAGGCATGGGATAATGGGCAGCCCTGTCGGATCCCTAGAAGGTTTGAATCTTTTTCGAAGACATGGCTCTAATAGGAGTATTTGTGACAAAGTGAAATTTCAGAGGTATTTGTTAGTGACCCCATAATATTGGGGGGTGTTTTATAATTACCAAAAAAAGGCGATAGATACATAGCAAGGTTTTTAAAATCGAATCGAACAATAAACTATTTAGGGTTCGGTTTCTGGGTCTAATGGTTCAATCATTCGAATCAAATCCATGGTCTGTTTTAACAAAAAAAAAAACAAAATAAAAATTGACCAAAAATCATTATTTAAGTTGACGGTTCAAATGATTCAATCGCCAGATCAATGGTTCACTAATCAAATCAATAGGTCTTGCCCAAAAAATGATTTTGAGATGAAACGGAATCAATCAGGTGCCAGTTCCCTATTTTTCCGATCTGATCCGATTTTGAAAACATTGATGCATAGCTATGTTAATCTCACACAGATGTGAAGTGAGAGAGTGGTTTGTGGGCATGCTTTATAGATGGCGTGGGGCGTTATTCTTGGTTGCATCATGGCCATCCCCTCTCACATGAGTTCACATCACGACTATGTATTGAAATCATTTTATGGGAGATGTTCCCAATGCATGTTAAAATGTGCATGTGGGGCGCCCAAAGGTAGCCACAAGCTGAGCTCCGAGCTATTCGAGCTCAACTCGTGAAAAATCCAACTTAGTTCAATTTCAATCGAGTTTCGAGCCTAATTTATAGACTTGATTAATAAAAGAACTGAGCTTGAATATATATATATATAGAAAATAATATATATAATAAAAATATTATAATTCTCAATTTTTTTAAATATCAAATAAAAAATATTTTTTATATATCATTTTTTATTTTTATAAAACATTTTTTTAAACCGAACCAAGCTCCAACTTACAAGTTTTTTATTCGACCAGAGAGCTTAAAGTTCTGACTCGAACTCGAGGTCGAGCTTTGTATTACCTTTCCGAGTTGAGCTCGAGCTTCGTATTATTCGACTCGGCTCGAGCGCTGACGTGATCGACTCGACACCTCTTACACTGCCATTGCGTTCAGAATTTACAAATATGTTGATTCTCTCGCCATGTGCAGACATGTGAATGGTTTACAGTCACATATTTTACCCTTAATTTTATTTTAATGGCATCGAGGCACCGAGAATCAATATTTGGCGGTAACGTACTAACGTCACGGGGCACTGAACAGAATCGTATCAGGTCACTGAGTGCTTGCGAGAGGGTTTGAGAGGAAAATCTGAAACAGAGTTGTAATGGGAGATGAGAACGAGAAGCAGAGCTGCAATGGCGGAGGGATTGTCTTGGTGGACCCGAAGCTGAGCAAAGGAATCGCTTCGCGAGTTATCGACTTAGTCGAGAAGCTAATAGTTAAGTTAATGTACGATTCTTCGAGGCTACACCCGTTCTTGACCGGAAATTTCGCTCCAGTGGACGAGACTCCGCCCTGCAAAAATCTTCCCGTCAAAGGTTGTCTTCCGGTAAGAGATCCATCGACTTCTAGATGCTTTTAAGGCTGCATTTGGCATTCCTTTTTGCTGTTAAAATTCTCATTGAGAATTTAAAAGGAGATAAATCCTTAATCATATTCTTACAAAGCTTTTAGTTAATTCAAGTTTTTTTTTTTTTAAATAAAATTTGCAATTTTGCTTTACAAATTACAAACTACGTAGAAAATTTTGTAAGAACAGTGTATTTAGCGAGTCCGGATTCGTATTTAGTGGTGTTTTAAAAAACCAAATTGGATGTCAACATGGCAGGTTCGAGAAGGGTTTACCCGCCTCCCTAAACCTACCTCAAAGCATAAGTTTGGCATCGATGTTGCAGATGCTCAGAAAATGGTGTTGCTGATGTGTGGGTTGGAAGATAGACGTTTCTTGGAGTAACAATAATAATTTCTGTTTGGTATTCGTGTTTTATGTCTGTTTTCAGCATGTGTTCATTATAGGAAGTTCATTTCACTATCACATCGCGTTCTCTTCGGCAGCAATGCAATGAGAAATAACTTAGATCAACTAAGTTATTTCTGAAGTAATGACATCACATCCCGTTTTTTTTGCTGTGGCATTGATGTATCACCGTTTTCTGAAGTAATGACATGGATGCCAAATAGATGCAAAATCCATCATTCAAGCAAAATAACTTAGATCAACTATCCACTGGGTAGGGTAGAAATTACCATGGAACTACTTTTACATCTGGGTGGCGGGCTGCTCATTCAGCCTTCAGCCCGTAAACACATGATGTCAAAATATAAAAAATTGGAGAAAAATTAGAAAAATTTTGAGAGAATGAAAGTTCAGCCCAGGGTCAGAATTTTTAGGCCCAAAGTATAATTGGGGTGGGTGCCCTTTGGAATTGATGTCAATTCACGGGTGGGCGTTTTTGACATTTTGAATATTTATAACTCTGCAATGGAATTCAAAAATCTGCATTGAGCCTGTCCCAATTTCTCCATAAATTTTTTGAATGCGTCGGTGGGTCATTATTTTTGCCCGCAGATCAGAGGCGGAGCCAGGATTTTATGTTTGGGGGCCACAAGCTAATGAATGTGAATTGGAGGGCAAAAGTTAATGAATATGGATGAAGGGGGATTGTAAGGATTTTTAAAGGCATAGGGGGCCATGGCTCCCCTCTGTCACCCCTGGCTCCGCCCCTACGCAGATGAACGGTTGGAGAGTGAAATGGACCCAAAAATTATGGCTGGCTGAGGAATTGATCGGACCATCCATCTGGTTCAGTTTGTGGATTGAAAAATTGATATTTTGGGTTATCAACCAGAAAGTCCTAAAATTGGTATTTTGGGTTTACTAGAAAAAAGAAAGTCCAATACCTAATCTGATAATTTTGTATTTGGATTATCCCGTTAACATCATGGTTTTCAAAATCGGACTGGATGGTCGGATCAGAAAAACCGGGAACCGGTCAGGTGACCAGTTTCGGTTTTCCCCAAAACTAGAAAATTTCCCATAACCGTTGGTTTTGGTTAGAAAACCGCTGACCTGAGCGGTTAATCGTTTGAACGGTTTTAACTATTTTTTGTTTTATTTTTTTGTCAGAATGGGCCATGGCCAACCATTCGGGACCATTCAACCCGGTAGCCGGACCCCTGACTGGTTCGGTCTCCGGGTCGTTTTTAAAAACCATGATTTACATAATTGGATTGGATTCAAAATTTATAACTTGACCACATCTGAACTGATTGAGATCCAAACATATAAATTAAAATCTGATGATCATAGGCTTATAGCAGCATCGATCAGCCTTCGCAAATCCCCAGGTATAATCACAAAAAGAAAGCAAAATCATTATTGGGAAGAGTGCAAATACAAGGTTTATAACTACAGTTTACAATGTTTTGTACTGTACATATTTGTACTTGTACTATTATGGCTTTAAATAGAATGGATTGGCAAAACATGATTCATGTAGCCGACCCCATTTAGTTGGGATAAGGCATGAATGATGATGATGATGATCTTTGTATTTCCACTCTTCCCAAATTGAGCCTTCCTTTTTTTTTTGATAAATGAAGAATTTATTAGAGAAAGAAATTAGGAGAAACTTTTACAGAAGACACTCGGAGAGGCACGAGCTGCGACCTCTCCAACCCTGCAAACATTAAAAAAGGTTACAGCTGAGCTCAATACAAATGTTCCCTCATTGCCCCTTGCTTGGCTAAACAGTCATCCATAACATTAGCAGATCTCCCTACCCATTGTATTCTAACATACAAGTTTCACGTGAAGCATTTGAATCTTTTAAGTACATTTTTGAAGCACCAAACTATAGTCTTTAGATTCTGTAACCACTCCACGACTACCTTAGAATCACCTTCTATTAGTAGCTGCTCCACTCCTATCTGTACAGCAAACTGTACCCCTTGTAGTGCAGCTAATAGTTCTGCCCTCGTGGAGTACCCTCACTTAAAGGGCCTGACAAAAGAAGAGCCACAGAACCACTTCCATTCCTTGTAACCCCTCCCATCCTAGAAGGGCCTGGGTTGCCCAGGCTACTCCCATCAAAATTTAATTTCAGGAAATCCTCGGGCTGGGGTACCCAGCTCATGTGCATCTTTTTCTTCAATGAGGAACTGCTTGCCACTTCTGCCCATCAAACTGAGCCTTCTTAAGGGCTGAATAACTATATTGACCCACTACTCAACAGGAAAAGAAACACAATTTGTTTACTAAATCAAACACATTTTCATCTTCCATGAGGGCTACCTGAATTTGTTTCTTATTTGCTGTGTTTTTTTCTTATTTCCTTAAAATGGAGCTAAAAGTTTGATAAGTTTATTTCAGAAGCTAGAGTTAAATTTCTCTTCATTGCAATGCAATGCTCTGAAAGTTTTGCTTTGCAGGAGTGCTTGAATGGGGAGTTTGTTAAGGTTGGTCCTAATTCAAAGTTTGCTCCAATGGCTGGATATCACTGGTACAACTATTTTCTTTAATTAGAAACATTATAAGAAAATAGGAGGGAACATGTTTATGTAGAAAATATCCAATAAAAAAGAAGCAATATAAAAAATAGCTTTAGATTGTACAAAGTATCTTGGTCTTATAAATATATGGAGGCTTTTCTCTAGTTCTCTCTTTCTCTCTCTTATGCATAGACACACATACATCCACAGACACAATATTTCTGAAAATCATTGTTCTCTAGCAACATTTCGTCTTATTCTTGGCCATCTATGTGCAGGTTTGATGGAGATGGGTGCGTGCTTTTCTCTTTCTTGCTTCACAATTGAAAAGACTATTTTTGTTGAAGTGGTTATCATGTTCTAAAGTAAAATGTTCTAAAGTACTATGTTTCTATAATTGTTTCTTTATCCCTAGGGTTTTTGCAATAAATGGAGATGCATATCAGGCTATATTACTATACATTTCCTTGCATTTCAATGGCTAACCAGATTTTGATATTTAAATTTGTCAAAATTCTCCCTTGTCTGCCTATTTATTATAGGAGATGTTACAGTTAGATCTTCTGCATTAGCTTTATAGACTGATAAGATGCCTATGGATGTGGATGCATTCTATTCCCCTGCCAATTCTTTATCTAAGCTCAATGCAATATAAGACAAAGGTTTTACTTAGGGCAGTCTTTGGGGTGCTAATATCTCCCGGACTCTTCCATTGCAAAACATAAATTGGAGTACCTTACCTTCAAATAAAACAGTGGGAAGAGATAAGCATGTTGCTGGTGTTCAACAAGGTAATTTAAAACATTGGTATTTTTAGCAGCAGCAGCAGAAACAACATTCAAGGGTATGATGTTCTAATTTAGAATCTTCCATTATAGGACAGATTTTATATCATCAGCAATTATTCCAGCTATCATCTGAGGTTTGAGTCAATAGGATTTTAAGTTGCAACGAGTTGTTGTTTTGATGACTTGAAATATGTTTACTAATTGATTACATTTCTTTGAATCTTTCTTCATTTATTGATTTTCTGAGATACATGGCCATGTTTATGACATTCTGATAGTAGAAATCTGCTGAACTCAAAAAATATGAACAGAAAAGTGGTTTCTTGAAGAGAGAAGAAAGAGAGGAGGAGAAGAAGAGAAGAAGAGATCTTGAAAAGAAAAGAGAGCAATAATCTGGCCGCCCCCTTCACTTATTATTTATACTAAAAATAATAGAGCAGTACAAAGACAACTATGCCCTTATAGGGCCACATAAAATAAAACAGAATATATAAGACTCAAAAACATAATAAAATTTGGCCTCACATAACTATTGTGGTCCCCATCTCCTATCTAACAACTAACATAAAACATCTACTCAGAAAAACAACATAAAACTGATTAATCTTCAATACTCCCCCTCAAGTTGGGAGTAAATGTCACACATTCCCAACTTGCATAGATCATGTTCAAGCTTTTTCTTTGCCACCCCTTTAGTGAGAATATCAACCAACTGCAACTCTAAAGAGACATAAGGCAAACAGACTTCTCCAGCTGTTACCCTTTCTCTTATGAAGTGTCTATCAACTTCAATGTGTTTTGTCCTGTCATGCTGAATTGGATAGTGGGCAATATTGATTATAGCTTGATTGTCGCAGTACAACACCATAGGTTCCTCTACTTTCACCCCAATCTCACTCAAAAGAGATCTAACCCAAAGAAGTTTTGAGACACCATGAACCATGGATCTATACTCAGCCTCTACACTTGACCTTGCCACAACCGCTTGCTTCTTACTCTTCCAGGAGATCAAGTTTCACCTACAAAGGTACACACTCCTGATGTAAACCTCCTGTCATCTAAGCATCCTGCCTAGTTTGCATCTGTATAGGATTTTAGCTTCAGATTCTCATGATTTGAGAAAAAAATGCCTCTATTAGGGTGCTTTTTCAGATATGCAAGTATTCTCTCAATAACTTCCCAGTGTTGAAATCGATGTGCATGCATGTACTGACTCACAACACTGATAGCATGAGAAATATTTGGTCGTGTCATACACAAATAAAGCAGTCGGCCCACCATTCTTTGATATCTCCCCACATCTTTTACCAACTCACCATCCACAACATTAATTTTGTGATTTGGATCAATAGGAGTGTTTGTTGGTTTGGTCCCCAGCTTCCTAGTCTCCCGCAGTAGGTCAAGTACATACTTTCTCTGTGAGATGAAGATCCCATGCTTGGATCTTGCAACTTCAATCCCCAAGAAGTATTTGAGCTCACCAAGATCTTTGATCTCAAATTCTTGCTGCAATGATTTTTTGATATCATCAATCTCCTCCAGATCATTTCCTGTAACCACAATCAGAATTGACACCAGAGCATCTCTTCTCTTTACAAAGAGGGTATGATCAGACTGGGTATGAGTGTATCCAAAATGGATAAGTGCCCCTCTAAACCTGTCAAACCAAGCCCTAGGTGACTGTTCCAGGCCATACATAGATTTTCTGAGTTTGCACACCTTTCCTTTACCAACATTTTCATAAAAGCTTGCTGTAATGTCCATATATACCTTCTCCTGTAAATCACCATTGAGGAAAGCATTTTTGACATCAAGTTGAAACAAGGGCCATGAATAGGTGGCTGCCAGAGATAAAAGGATACGAACTGAACTCATCTTAGCTACTGGTGCAAAGGATTTTAGATAATCAACACCATAGGTCTGAGTATACCCTTTTGCTACCAACCTTACCTTGTACCTCTCTATCTTGCCATCAGCCCAATACTTCACTGTGAATACCCATCTACATCCGACTGTCTCCTTGTCTGGGGGGAGATCAACTATTTCCCAAGTTTGGTTTTTAACCAAGGCTTCCATTTCTTCTTGCATGGCTGTTTTCCATTCAGGTTTAGAGAGAGCCTCAGTAACATTCCTGGGTATAGACACAGAATCAAGGGAAGAAAGGAAAGCTTGGTAGGAGGGTGATAAGGCACTGTAGGAAAGATGGTGTGAAATGCAATGGGCTGTACACTTTCTCTTCCATTTGTGAAATGCAATGGGAAGATCAAGGTCAGTGGGATCAGCTGCAACAATGGTGTTAGGTACAGGAACATTATCATTAGAAAACATAACAGGCTCAGGCTCAAGAGTAATACCTGGAACTATATCTATTGAATCTGGAGTTTCAGAAGGACTGATAGCGAGTCGTGTGGGTTGAGGATGTGTGGAGTCAACAATCGTTTGCCGGCGCTGATATTTCTATGAGGCTGCTCGTAATGGCTCAGGTAATGAAACTGATGAAGGTGCTGGCTGAATTGATGATGGAATTGATGGAGGCACAAAAGAAACAGGAAGAGAAACAAATTGTAAGTTCTCCTCCCTAAAACTCTCTCCCTGAGGAGAACCACTCAAGAAGAAAAAGGTGGATTCAAAAAAGGTAACATCCATAGTGACAAATCTGCTCCTCGACACTGGGTCATAACAATAATACCCCTTTTGGTTTTGAGTATACCCAAGAAAAACACATTTCTTGGTCTTAGGGTCCAATTTTTTGCGATGGGGGCCAAGAATGTGAACAAAGGAAAAACAACCAAAAAACCCTCAGAGGTATGTGAAATATCTCTCCATTTGGAAAAAGAAAACTAAATGGCACCTTAAACCCTAAAACCCTAAAGTTCGTGAAGGAACATGATTAATCAAATATATGGCTGTAAGAATTGCATCTCCCTAGAAATGCACAGGAACTGAAGCACACACCATAAGACTTCTTGTCACCTCCACAATGTGTCTGCTTTTCCTCTTAGCTACTCCATTCTGTTGCGGTGTATATGCATAACTGCTTTGATGAATTACACCATGTTTTGAGAAATACGTGGTTAGGTCCTTCTCAAAGTACTCTCTGGCCTTATCTGATCTAAAGGCCTTAGTTCTCACTCCAAATTGTGTGAGAACCATCTGGTGGAATTGTCGTACCAAGTTAGGAACCTCATCTCGTGATCTCATTAAATATATCCAAGAATATCGTGTATAATCATCCACAAACAAGAAAAGGTAACGGTATCCTCCAATGGAAGGGATATAATATGGCCCCCATACATCAGTGTAAACAATATTAAAAGCAAAAGTATTTCTTTTATTACTTGGTTTAAAAGAATGTCTACAATGCTTTCTTAATTGACAACTCTCACACTCCATGGTGGATAACTGAACAGACTCAAACAACTTTGGGAAATGAAATTTCAAAGAACTAAAAGAAAGATGTCCCAAGCGATTGTGCCAAAGAATAATCTGGTTCATTGACTCTGACCCACTACTACTGTTGCTGCTAACATGATGGCCTTGATGTCTTGGAATCTCATCCAGAAGGTAGACTCCATTCACCTCACGACCACTCCCAATTATCTTCTTTGACTCCAGATCCTGCAAAACACAATTACCAAGAAGAAAGGTTATTGTAAAAGTCATTTTTTTTGTCAAAGAACTAACAGAAAGTAGGTTGGTATGAAGTCTAGGGACATGTAAAACAGAAGATAAAGTTATATCATTGGTCACTCTAACTATCCCCTTCCTAGCAATGGGAATATGTGAACCATCTACTATAGGGACTTTGTCTTTACCAGAGCACAACTGATAGGAATTGAAAAGGGTAGGGGCATTAGTCATGTGCTCAGATGCTCCTGAGTCTATAATTCAAGGAGATCCCTCCTTACCTGAAGTGGATGCAAGATTTGTAGTTGCATATGAACTACCTATATGTGCAAAAGAAGTGGTGTAGTTGGCTCTTATATTCTATTGTCCATCTGGAAGGTTAGAGTTAGGTGAATCTTTCTTATTCATAAGTTGTCCAAACCTCTCCAGTTTTGTTCTCACTGCTGCTATTGCAGTGGATTCCCAATCAGTTTAGGAAATAGGGGCCAAAGAATCTCCTGTAGTTGCCACATTTGCATTTCCCTTCTTGTTCCTTATCCGGGAAGGCATAAGATTTGGATGAAGCTTCCAACAAGTGCCCCTATTATGCTTAGGCTTCTTACAATAATACACACCAAGTCCTTCTTATCTTCCCTTCGAGTCTTATTACTCCCCCTGTTTCCATTTGGCTTAGGTTTGGTTGTACTAAGCATAGCCGATTGGTTAATCCCAGGCTGTCTCAGAATGACATTCCTCCTACTCTCCTCTCCAAAGACAAAGGCTTAGGCTTCAGGGAGTGTCACACTCTCCCTAGAAAGAATATGCTGCCTAGCAATGTCAAATTCAGGGTTCAACCTTGCCAAGAACTTAAAAACCATATTCCTCTCTACCAATCTGTGATAGGTTGCTGCATCATTTACACTTTCCCATACCATAGTTTCTAAGTGATCTATTTCCTACCAAAGGGTTTTTAGCATGGAGAAATACACAACAAGGGGTTTTTCTCCTTGTTTCATACTTATCACCTGATTCCTTAACTGATAGACTCAGCTTCATTTTTCTTTTGAGAATAGGTTTCAGTCACTCCATCCCAAATCTCCTTAGTAGTATTAGCCCATAGGAAATTTTTTGCAATATGGGGTAACATAGAATTACATAGCCAAGACATTACCATGTAATTCTCTTGCACCCATTAGTAAGAGTCTGTATCAGGTTTCTTCTCCTCCCTAGTGATGTACCCTAATTTTCCATGGGCACCAATAGCCATCTTGGCTGATTGTGCCCACTCTAAATCATTTGTACCATCAAGTTTTACTGTAGTAATGATTCCAGACCCAAAAATATCACTACTACCTCCAGCACCCAGTCCCATAGTACCGGTGGATTTCACCTCGATATTCCAACTGTCAATCTTACTTCAAATAGTTCAACAGTAAGAAAAAATAGATTGGAGACCTTTCAAAAACAATTTGATAGCACACACAGAAAACAACCCTTCCGAAAGAAGAAAACCCTATCTGGAGAGAAATCTCTCTCCTCCCCATGCCTCCCAATAGAGAGAAGAGTGAATTGATCACTCTAGGGGGCTCAGAAAATTCCAAAAACTTAAACGCCCTCTTTAGAATATCAAAAGAAAACTAACAATACCTGGGCGCCCAAGATCAGATAAAAAACAAAGAGTCCAGCTTTTCTAGGACTCTTCCCTATACTCCAGTTCTTCTTGATTTTGATGCCAAATAGTAGATCACCTTCCTAATGACTAGATCCCACCAAAAAATCCAAGAACTGAGCAATATATAGCAGATCAGTCAGCCCTTTGTTACTTCATGCAGTCGGCCGATCAAGGGCTGCATGAGAATTCTTCAAGAACCCTAGCCGGTGCTCTGATACCAAGTAGAAATCTGCTGAACTCAAAAAATATGAAAAGAAAAGTGGTTTCTTGAAGAGAGAAGAAAGAGAGGAGAAGAAGAGATTTTGAAAAGAAAAAAGAGCAATAATCTGGCCGCCCCCTTCACTTATTATTTATACTAAAAATAATAGAACAGTACAAAGACAACTATACCCTTATAGGGCGGCATAACATTAAACAGCATATATAAGACTCAAAAACATAATAAAATTTGGACTCAACATAACTACTGTGGTCCCCACCTCCTATCTAACAACTAACATAAAACATCTACTCAGAAAAACAACATAAAGCTGATTAATCTTCAACACTGATATTCATAAATTGTCTAAGATTCATGAAGTTGGAGTGAGTCTTGAATCCATGTTAGATTTTATTAGTTTACTAATGACTTTCAATAGTTTTCTCAATATTTACAGCATGGTTCATGGCTTGCGTATAAAAAATGGAAAAGCAACATATGTTTCACGCTATGTAAGAACATCACGCCTAAAACAAGAAGAGTTCTTTGGAGGACCAAAATTTTTGAAGGTATGTTGTAGAGCAATCTTACAAGACCATATTAAAATGTTTTCCTTCGTGAGGGCACAATGTCAATGTTATTGATTTTCTAACTTGTCGTGCCTAGTATGATAATTTTATGTTGTATTATTTAGTTTGGCCCTTGTCAGCTAGATTCATATCAAAAGGTTTCACCTTTTGTTTGAGATATTATAGTCAAAGGAGGTTTAGTGCTTTGCACATTTGGTAGATCTAATCTTTTATAGCTCTCCAAACTTGTGATAATATAAATAATTAGTTTTTATGCTCTATGTGCTTCTGCTTTGATACCCTGACAATAGGCTGTTCCAGATGCATTGTGAAAAAACAGTAAACTTTTGTTATGCAATGATCTCTATGAACCTTATACACTAGGTTTTATTCATATATTGATCTATCAACTTTGACCTATTCATGTTTTAGCTATCCCTATTTACAGTTGTATACTTTTTCTGTCTTTAAAATACACTTCCCATTTGTGCTCCTTGTCAGCTCTGTTTATGATCAATTTAATATCAATGAAAGGAAAAGAGATTTAGGTTGTGAGTTGAACCAGATTTGAACTAGACTAATCTCAAGTAACTCCAGATTTGTGCTCCTTACTGGCTCCTGAAGTTTTGTTGTGTCATTTGTAGATTGGGGATCTTACAGGATTATTTGGATTATTTGCATCTGGAATACATTCTCTTCGAGCAAAATTGAAAGTATTGGATGTTTCCTATGGAATTGGCACAGGTAAGTTTGCTGACCACATAGAAAAAAATACTTGATTGAGGTCTTTTCTATATCAAGATTAAGATAATTTGGCACTTATGGTTGTTATAGGTAGCCTGTTTATGTTTCCAAATGCATGTCATGTCTGAGTTGAACAATCACTACTGTTGGAAGTCAACTAATTATCTCTGAATGTTTTCCAGCTAATACAGCTCTTGTATATCACCATGGTAGACTTTTGGCTCTTTACGAAGCGGATAAGCCTTGTAAGTCTTCTCTTTCTTTCCTTTCCCAGACAAATAAAGTCCATGTCTGGATAGATAAGCGAAAATGTTTGAACTCTAATTGATTTAAGTATCAATAAAACTTTTAGGCTATTTGTGTCATGTAAGACATTACTGTAAAATAGAGTAACTTTGTTCTCTCAAATACATTTGCACTTCTGAGCTTTATTGAAGTTCATTATCACAAATATCATATTTACTGCATTCTATAGATGTTCTTAAAGTCTTGGAAGATGGAGATCTGCAGACCCTTGGAATGTTGGATTATGACAAGAGATTGACACATTCCTTCACTGCCCATCCAAAGGTTGATCCATATACTGGTAAGGCTCCTCCTCAAAGAACTTAGTTGACTAATATGTAGATCAATCCATTTAAGTTCATGGTAATCTAATATGCAGGAGAGATGTTTACCTTTGGTAATTCACTGACACCACCATATGTTACTTACCGAGTTATTTCCAAGGATGGTTTCATGCATGATCAAGTTCCAATAACAATATCAGATCCTGTCATGATGCATGACTTCGCAATCACAGAGAACTATGCAATTTTCATGGATCTACCTCTATATTTCCGACGTGAGGTAACACAGTTATTGGTTGTGTTATGGAATTGTTTAAATATACATATTTGTAAAGGGTTGTTTGATCAGGAGAAGCATGACCATTTCTTCTATAAAGCATTACTAATATACTTGACATTTACAACAGGAAAGAGACTAAAAGGAATTAAAAACAATCTTGAAAGCAAGGTTCAAAGTATCGAAAAGACAATTTTAAGAGACGTATTGGGATACGCTTTGGATACGTATAGATATGGACGAAAAATCAAGATACGCATAAATATGGTAAAAAAATCAACTAAATCTTAAAAAATATATTACTAACTATATTTACAAATTTTATATGATTGTAAATAAGTCATTTAAATGTAAAAAACCATAATTTAATGGTTTATATAGAGTATGACATATCGGGACACAATTAGTAACCATTGAAAAAATGATGGAATAACTAAAATGTAAAAAAACAAAAAAATAAATAAAATGTGAATGTCAATTTTCAAAAACCAATATAATTAATCTTAAAATTTATTAGTATATAAATTTTAATAATTAATTCTAGCATTTATTAATAAAAACTTGTCACTCATTAAGAAAAGTACAAATTTACTTAAAACTAAAAATATATATAATCTTAGCAAGTAAATATGTGTGGCTCATTGGCAAACTTGTGGTTGTTAAAACTTTAAATCAAGTGACCAAGGTTCGAATCTTGCTATAGAAAAAATTTGAAGTTTTACACTAACAGAACGAAATTAATGTTAGGGGATCATTAATTAAAGGAATTTATGAGAGAATTTGAATTAGGCGCTAAAATTCAAATTTAAATTTAAATTTGCCTTGGAGTAATTGACTAATTAATGAAAGAGAAATTATACTTAAATAAACGAAATTAATGAGAGATTCCATATTAATGACGTACGAAAAGAAATGGAACATATGATTTATACACGTTCCGCGTATCGGATTCTTGTCGGAACGATACCCATCGGCCAATACGGACCGATACGTTGTGATATTTTGAACCTTGCTTGAAAGCTATGACAATAGATGTAGAAACAGAGAAGATATGAGAAGAGGGAAAAAAAGAGATTTGGAAAAAAAGCACTCCCAATTGTGAGGTAGTTGTCAAATGAAGAGTGAGGGAGGAATAGGGTGTGTCACTATCCACACACAAAATGTGCCGTTTAAACTTAGTGGAGAAAACTACATATCTGCCCTTGAATGGGTGCCTAAATACAAACAGTATAGAAAGACAATGACACTATATGGCCTTGAATTGGTTGAAGACCTTATTGACCGAGATGGGCATCCAAGCAGATCCCCAATGAGACTATATTGTGACAATCAAGAAGCCATAAATATTGCTCACAATCTTATTCAACATGATCATACAAAGCATATTGAGGTAGACAAACACTTTATTAGAGAAAAAATTGCTAGCGGAGAGATTTACCTTCCTTTTGTAAGGTTGAAAGACCAACTAACTGATTACCTCACTAAAGGTGTTCACCATCTAAAGTTTGCTAAGAACCTTGTCAATAGGGCATGATTGACATATATTCTCAGCTTGAGGGGAGTGTTTTAGTCTTTTCCTCATCCTTTTGTATTTGGGTTCCCAAGTATGGTTTTTTTTTTGTAATTTTTTCTTTCAAAATATAAAGAGCATTTTTGAGGGTGTGAATAGTAGAACACACACACCCCTCTTCAACACATTCTTCTTCTTCTTCTCCTCTTCCTCCTCCTCCTCCTTCTCCTCTCTTCTCTTCTTCTACAAACCCTAGATATACAACACTAGATTTACAACTAAGAACATAACACAAGAACCCAGGTCCACTTAGGGAGTGTTCTAAAAGTTGAATATTTTTGTTTTTATTTGTTTTTGAAATCGTCACATCAACAAAAAACAAAAACATGTTTTTGAACTCTGTTTTTGTTTCAAAAGGCAAAAACAAATTGGTTTTGTTTCAAAAAATAATACATGTTTTTGAAACCATCAAGATAATGGTTTTTAAAACAAAAGTTAATTTTGTAGTGTAGAAATTATATGATTTATGGAACATGATATTAAATAACCAGATGAAAACGTATTTTTGAAACCATAAATTCAAAAACATGTTTTTATTGTTAGTTTTGAAAACAAAAAAAAAAAAACACATATACAAACAAGAACATGTGTTTTGTGCTTTTGTTTTGAGAAGCAATATATTTTCAAGCCAGATGTTTTTCTTTCTTTTTTTTGTTTTTTTTGGGAAATGGAAACAAGAAAAACAATTCATGTTGTAGACCACCCCCTTAATCTAATAAAAAAATAAATAAATAAAGAGCATAATTGCCCCTTGTTTGGCTAGATTGTCTGCCAAACAAGAGCCCTAAAACCTTGGTGCACATAACAAAAGCCCAGGCCCAATAGCCCCACAAGAGAAATAAAATATTGTTGCCCAAAAATTCAATAGTCGACAAGAGAAATAAAACTTTCAGTTACTAATTATAAAAAAAAAATCAGTTACTGATAAAAAAAATCTGATTCTTATTCATAGATAATAGTCCATGTTTTACCAAGCTAGTTTTACAAAAGAAAAATAAAACTTTCAGTTACTAATTATAAAAAAAAAATCAGTTACTGATAAAAAAAATCTGATTCTTATTCATAGATAATAGTCCATGTTTTACCAAGCTAGTTTTACAAAAGAAAAATAAATTTGTTGTCTAGTTTGATATGAAAATATATGTAGGGAACTTCTTTTTTGATCTTTTGAAGGGCTACACCGCAGGGGGTAGCCCATCCACCAACCAGTAACCCCCCAACCCAGGTGTAGGCAGGATTCGGTCCCAAGTCTCCGCTATGGCCAGCAGGAGACCTTACCAACCAGCTGGTTAGCACCTTGCTATATGTAGGGAACTTTTAACTGATCATTTTATTTTAATGTCTAAAAGTATCTTTTCTTATAAGCTGATTAGCTACTTCAACAATGACTGAAAACATTGATAGGCTACAAGTTATCAATCTGAACTATGTTTTATTATATATTTTCGTTTTCAGGAAATGGTGAAGGGAAATAAACTAATTTTCACATTTGATGCAACTAAGAAATCCCGTTTTGGTATACTCCCACGATATGCAAAGGACGAGTTACAAATCAGATGGTTTGAGCTTCCAAATTGCTTCATATTCCACAACGGTGACTCCCCCTTCTTTATTGTCTTATTCCAATAATAGTATCCTATATATTTATCTCTTCTCCTAGGCATAATCCTCCTATATTGCACATCTCAATGAGATTTAACTAGCCAAACACGGTGAATGAGCCTAGTTAATATTAGCTATAAACATGCTCAATTTAAAGACTGAGAAGTTCTGGCATATGGGTATGCATATATCTCAATGAGGTTTAACCAGACAAACCTGGTTAGGTAAACAAAGTCTATCAAATATGGACCTGCTTAGGTGGGACACTAAAAGGTTCTGAGATTTGAGCATCCATTTCTACTTAATGTGGCAGCAGCTAAAATGTTGGCTATCAGTGGGACAGCTTGTTTTTTCACTACAGAAAATTCAGTGGATTTTTCAAATATCAAGAACTAATCTCTTTTGTTTTCAGAAGTTAGACGATCATTTGATTAAAGATCTGAACACATCTCCTGACTGCTAAAAATTGCTGAAATTTTTAGAGGCGGGTTCCCTTGTAAACATGTTCAGCACTAAATTAAGAGGTCATTTGGAAATGTTTCCATTTGGCAAATTTGTAATTGACTCTAGAAGTCACATATAACTTGTCCATGTATAATAAATATTATATTATTTATGAATTCTGATATAATCAATATATAATATAATATATTATATATTTGGAGGGGTTAAACTGCTATTAGTCATTTTCTAGAAGTTCCAGCATTCATAATATAAAACAGTTTCATTACATTTAGAACTCTTGAAAAACAAAAAGTTTTTGATAGTTAATACCTCATATCTGTTTTCAGAAATTTTTTGCTTTTCAAAGATCAGTGTTCAGATTTACCAAAACACCATCTTTGCTTGTTTGCCTAGTAACTAGGTAGCAAGATAAGCAAGAAGCCAAATTATCCAGTTGATCATTTCAGCAGTACTGTACATAGTAATTTTACAAAAAATGGGTATGAATTTTGTCTTGATATGGACTTCTATTGTGTCTACAACAAGCAGACTAGCACATTTCTAATTCTAAATAACCACATTTAGGAATAGAGTCAGTTTTCCAGTGGAGTATGAGCTTTTGAGAATTGCGATACACATAAGGCCTAACTATACATCCGACTCATGCTCTATCAAGTTAAGTTATTTGATAGGAGAAGGCACCATGTAATGTGTGTTTTTTATTATTATTACTTTTCTTCTTTTATTTGTAAAGGTCCACTTTGTGAGGATGGGCAATGGACATTGAGTATCTTTGTACTCCCCATTCTTTCTTATTGTTCTTTTATTCAATTTCTTCTTGTGATTGTGGTTACCAAGTCCTAAGGTATACTGCTTTTGCTCATGGTATTGATACCAAAGTATCAATTTAGAGAAAGAAGATAATCTGTATGATAAGGATTTAATATCCATAGTCCTATGCTTCAAGTCATGCTTTTGGTTTTATTTTTATTTGTTGAGAAGATAGACTTGGCTACTTCCAAAAGGAAAGAGATGTGCTCAAGAAAAATCACATTCTGAGTAATACGAATATGCCATGCAGAGGGATCATAACAAAGAAATCCCTTGTGGTTAGGATTGTAACTGACAAAGGCACACGTAACAAATTGAGCTAAAAGTTTAGAATGCTCACGAGAGGGAAGATGTACAAAGCATAGCAATCCAAAAGCATAAAGATGGGAAAGATTTGGAGGGAAACCAAACATTTTCTAGTGAGATGACATGCCAACAAGAACAGATGAGGAATGCAATTAATTAGATGCACAATAGTACTAGTAGCCTCCACCCAAAATGATGAAGGTGCGTGTGACTTACACAAGAGTCCTCACAACACTGAGAACATGGCCATTCTTTCGTTTTGCCACACCATTTTGCTGAGGAATGTCGGGACAACTTTGTTGAACTTGTATGCCATGATGTTTCAAATAAACCAAAAATTCTCTATTTCTCTCCCCCTGAGTCAGAATGTGAGATCTGTACAGTTGATTGAAACTGAACTCGAACCATAGCATGAAACAACTAAAAGGTAGAAAAGACTTCTGAGTTCTGACTTGTGTTTGAGAAAGTAATATCCAAGTGTAGCTGATACAATCATCAATGAACAATACAAAATATTTGTATCCCAAACGTGAAACAATAGATGAAGTCCATACATCACTATATGTAATTTCAAAAGGTGAAGTAGCATGTTCAACTTTGTGAGTAAATGGAAAAATATGACTCTTATTCAAACAAAAAGTAATATAAGAAGTATCAAAAGTTTTCACAAAGGGAATTTTAGTTCTAATGAAGCCAGAGTTAGACAAAAGTTTATGTTTTTCAAAGTTTGGGTGACCCAAACGATTATGCCATATATCCCAGACATTGTTTCTTTGATCCAAAACAAGACGCAATGAAGAAAAACTCAAATAAGTAGAGAATAATACTGATTGAGATTTCTCAAACTCTAGTGCAAACAAGTGGCCTAGCCTACGCCCCTTCCCTTTCATCCTTCTAGTGCACCAGTCCTAAATCAAACATCCATTAGAGGAAAAAGTTAGAATGCTACCTTCATCAACCAGTTAACTAACTAAAATAAGGTTAGTAGTAAGTTTAAGAACAAAGAAGGTCTTGGTAAGGGAAAATGAGTTTGAAGGCGAGAGTTTGAGACACAAATCATCACTCCCAATGATATTCAATTTCTTACCATTGGTAGTAACAATATGTTTATGGTAGGTCATAGAAAAGTCATTTGATGGTTCGGGGTAGGCAACAATCATATGATATGTAGCACCAAATTCAATTATCCAAACATGAGAGGGAGAAGAGCAATAACCAAAGAACTCACCAAATAGGCCAATAATAGAAAAGGTAGATGAGATAGCAGAGGATCGTATTTCTTCCTTATTCATGGAAGCGGAAGATTCACCTTTGACAATAAAGGCACCGATCGCCTAACCCTTTGATACCTGATAAGCTCGTGGTTGATAATGGCAGCGGGGCGGGGACGGGGAGCCTCTCCCCATCCACGTCCCCATGAAAATTCCCATCCTCGTCCCCGTCCCCATCTCCACTAATGGGGACAAGGTTATCCCCATCCTCGTCCCCACAAGGATCCCCATTCCCCATAATTTTTTATAATGTTAATCATTTTGTTTTTGTTTTTTATTTTATTTAAAAAAGTAAAAATGAGATAATTAAAATTTACAATCCTATTAGAAAATATTCAACCATATTTTTAAAAATATTAATATATAGACGTATGTGTACATATATACATATATAACATATGAATACATATATATTAGTGGGGATCCCATGGGGCAGGGATTGGGTTCCCCACAGGGCGGGGAGTGCTTTCCCCGTCCCTGCTAACGGGGATGAAAATTTCCCCATCCCCGTCCCCACTGGGGGAAAATCAACCCCATCCCCACCTCATTCGGGGTGGATCCCCACGGGAATCGAGGAAATGGGGAATATTACCATCCCTATTCATAGTACCCTTAAAGGGACGAACTGGGTAGTCTAGGATGATATGACCATGCTATTTGCAGTAAGTGTATACATTCTTCTTCTTGCAATGTGAAGCTATATGTCCAAACCCCTTACATTAATAACACTGGGTCTTAGAAAGATCCTTTCCACCAAATTTCTTACTTCCATGTGCAATGAAAGCAATTTCAGCCCCGAATCAAGTTGCCTCCCCTCTATGTTTGTAGTAGTCATGAGTCTGGTTTCTCCCATTAACAATTCTCCCATCATAGTCTAAATCCGGAAGGGTACCTCTATTCAAGATGTTAGACCTGATTATTTCATATTCAGGTCTTAGTTTCATAAGGAGCGGGTTCGCCTTTTTATTCTCAAAATACTTTTGTAGATACTTAACACACTTTGGGGGATCAAAGGGATCGGTGTTAACCAGTTCATGTTCTACCAGATTTCTTACTTCCATGTACAATGAAAGCAATTTCATCCCCCGAATCAAGTTGCCTCCCCTCTATGTTTGCAGTAGTCATGAGTCTAGTTTCTCCAATTAACAACTCTCCCATCATAGAGTCTAAATCCAGAAGGGTACCTCTACTCAAAATGTTAGACCTTTTTATTCTCAAAATACTTTCGTAGATACTTAACACACTCTAGGGGACCAGAGGGATTGGTGTTAACTAGTCATATTCTGCCCATAAATCAATTAAACCTGCAGAGTACTCTTGTATCTTTTTATCCCCCTGGCAATAAGCAAAGATCTCAAACTCAATCTGATAATGTCTTGACATGTTGGACCGATGATAAACCTTCTTTAAATATTAACTAGTTCATATTCTGCCCATAAATCATTGAGCCCTGCATAGTACTCTTGTATATTTCTATCCCCTTGGCAATAGGCAAAGATCTCAGACTCAATCTGATATTGTCTTGACATGTTGGATTGATGATAAACCTTCTTCAAATCGGAATACATCTCATAGACTATTCATAGTCTTCTCATGGGAATAGAAATGTGAGGTAAAATGGAGCTTAGAATCCAAGAGACTAATTTCCCATTGTCAACCATCCATTGTTGAAAAGCCTTTGCTTCAGCTTCATTTGGCCTGGTAACTGTACCATCCAAATAACCTTCCTGACCCTTTCCCTCAACAAAGAAATCAAAATGAAACTTCCACATATTGTAGTTAGTTTCATCAAACTTCATAGGTATGACATCAACCTTATCATCCATTTAGGTTGAACACTCAAATAACAGTATTAACAGCCAAGAATGTACAGCTCTGATTTCATGTCATACAACCAGTTCGTACAAGAGAAGAGAACACAGTTCTGGGGTGTAAAACTCAATCAATCGACTCCACCCCAAGAGCCAGTGATTATATAGATGAAATATTAGATATTTGCAGAGAAGTCCTTACAGGACAAAAGAAGAAAATGAATATGTACATAAAAGCCCTCACAGGACTAAATAAGAAAATAATCAAGAAGGAAAATATAGTACAAGGACTACAAAGTATGATACATCAATGGGACTTTTCACATCCAACTTGTATGGGACATGATAGTGTATTGGAAATCCATGTAAAAAAATTCTACATAGATTTTTGATTTATGCTACTGATATATCGGATTTGTTTTCTTGTCGGATTTTAAACTATTGCACTATTCTACTGTTTCCTATATGGGTTCTGGTATTTGGTTTTGATCTGAATTACAATCTTAGACCATATTGCTTGCAGCTTGGATTATTTAGGATACCTTATTTATAGTTCCTTTAACTATATATGTTTTTCTTTAAGTTGGATGCCGATTATTGTTTTTTGGGAACATTAGTCACTTTAATTACAATTAGACTATCAGTGTATTGATTGGTCCTGTGGCATCAGATAAGAATGATATTCTTACTGTTAAACTTAATGGGGAAAATTACACTCTGGAAAGTTCATTTTATATACTGTTTTTGTAGGGAAAGATTTATGTGGACATATTGAATAAACACTACATAGTTCAATATAAACATATAATAATATGTAATTATCGTGTAGTATCTATTAACTGCAATCTTCTAATAAACTTACATTAAGTCATTAAATGATAAATGATAAATGATAACAACACTTACCTGATTTTTGCGAAAATAAATGTCAAGATTGTTTAAATAACCTCCTCTTTTTGAAGTGACTCCTTGCACCTAATCTCCTGTTAGTAAACCAAAAGAAGAGGAAAGTATTACAAGGTCATGTATTTTTCAAAAGAAAAGACAAGACATAGATTAGGTGGTTTAAAGCATTTAATCTGCCATTATACCGAGAAAGAAAACAGAAAAGGTTGGCAGAGGTTGACATAGAGAAGGGATGAGGAGGAAGGGAAGGAATATAGTTGTTTCTTTGTTTGTTTTGCCACTTTCTTTTAACATAGATAGATTAAAATAAGAAACCAGAAAAAATATATATACCTGGTCAAAGGACTCCAAGCATGATTATGCTTTATAAAAGAGCCTTAATTGTAGTGCTGTACATATATCTACTTATCCCCCACCCTCAAAATAAAATAAGAAAGAAAATCTATTGACCTGTGAAATTTGATGGTTGGTTGATAAAAAAGACAAAAAACTAAATGCAGAGAGCTTTAGCTGTTTATTCTAATGTTCTTTTTGGTTTTTATGTACTAGCTAATGCTTGGGAGGAGGAGGATGAAGTTGTTTTGATTACTTGCCGCCTTCAGAATATAGATCTGGAAGTGCTTCAGAATCTCACAATTGAGCTGTAAGACAGATGGGTTCACTCAATTTTATGTTTGAGCACATTGTTCTCCATGGTGTTACTAATTCGTATGTTCTCTCAGATATGAGATGAGATTCAACATGAAAACTGGTCTGTCTTCACAAAAGAAGTTGTCAGCACCAGCTATAGATTTTCCTCGGGTGAATGAGAACTACACTGGCAGGTTTTTCTCTACCAATTTTAGTTGAACACGCTGGAGATTGGGAGTTGAACTATATGTCAAGTGTGTAAAAACTATCGTTTAGCAATAGAAAATTGGAAGTTCAAATTTTGTTTTGTTTTTTTTTTCACTTTGGAATGCAATAGATTTCTATGTTTAGATCATTCTATAATTTTGTGATTATTTCTAACTTTCAAAACAATATTTTTTATCAATAGCTGAGCAATTTATTAAGATAGAATAGAAAAGTACAGATTACAAGTATTTATTGAACAAGTAGCAAGTCTTTATTTCCCTCTATAAATTTCCTTTCAATTGCTCAAAAATGTTGTTGGCTATCCTTTGAACCCACTGAACTCTCACCTCCATCTCTCTAGTCTGCCGTTGGAACTTTCAAAACATTATTATTTATACATGTTCAAGGTATTCTATTGGTAGGAAACCACAGATGTTTTTGCCATATTGGAAAAGTTTTAGACAGTGGACCAACTTTGTAATGTTATTATCTTTACAAAGCTCGTTAATATTTTCCACTTTTAAGCAGATTTTCTTGTTACCTTATCATTTTCTTCAGGTTTTGTTTGCACTTCATCAGAGAATCTATAGATTCTGTTTTCTTATTATCTTTGGTGAATTCAGGAAACAACGGTTTGTCTATGGAGCCATTTTGGACAGCACTCTGAAGGTGACAGGGATTATTAAGTTTGACTTGCAGGCTGAACCAGAAAATGGAAAGACAAAACTTGAAGTTGGAGGAAATGTTCAAGGCATCTTCAACTTTGGACCAGGAATATTTGGTTCGGAGGCAATTTTTATTCCTCGTGAGCCAGATGCTTGTGAAGAGGATGATGGTTACCTGATATTCTTTGTACATGATGAGAACACTGGGTAATTGTTTTCCTCATCTTTCTTGTCATTGGTTGCATTAGTGACTATATTATTTTTGTAGTTACTGTAGTAACAGTAATCATGTAGGAATGTGCTGCACAAACTTCTTGTTCGTCCTTCAAAACCCAACCAACTTTGCTTTCTTTTCAGAAGATGGAATTTATATGTTTGGAACACCCAATATCTGTAGTGTTCTATTTTGACCTGCAATAAGTACAGAAGATAAAGAAAGATGTGAGTCAGGATTAGTAGTATCCAACACTTGGCTTTTAGGAAAAAGAACCAAAAGCAAGAGTTACATGTTTCAAAGAATAAGAACACATAAAATGAATGTAAGACAACATACTTGGGGTACTGGTTACATGACCAAACAAGATGAGACTGTACCTATCTGAGCTAGAGAAGGAATGAAAAGTGATGCCTGAAGAGCAGTCATAAGCTAAGAATTTTTTCTTTAGATATGGTCATCATATAACTACCAAGCTATCGAGAATTACTAGATGATTTGTTACCATACCTGTCTTCCTAATTGGTTGGATGGTTAGTAAATCTAGTGGTCTTGTCATGGAGATGACGATAATTTTGAGAATTGAAATATTATTTAGAGGGACGAATACGTGGCAATGAAGAATTTAAATATCATGATAACTATTCTGTTTCATGGTAAAAATGTTTTTTGGTCTAATCTCTTCTAGAAGCTTAGTTTTTTAGCATGGTTATCTTCCATGTATCAAATATGGATATGAGATATCAGTGACAATTGCTAATTGTCTTTATAAGCATATTCCCAGTTCCATTCTTCACATAGCCATCATTTTTCTCTTGAAATAAAAGCCATTCTTATTTCTTTAAATTCAAATTTAAAGCCTACTTACCATGACAAGACAATTAGACTCAAGAATTGACTTGCTTTCTTTTTCTGCAGAAAATCCACAGTCAATGTAATAGATGCAAAATCAATGTCGTCTGATCCTATTGCAGTTATTGAGCTACCTGATAGAGTTCCTTATGGATTCCATGCCTTATTTGTAACAGAGGTCAGTGTTTTTTAAAAGGGATTGGCTTTTTTTTTTCTAATCAGCATTAAAATCACATTTATATGAACGTTCCTTATGAATTCCAGGCCTTATGTTCTGTCTAGCCCTAAACTATCATTTATATGAACGTTTTAAGAAAATACATGAAGAGACAAAACTGCCCCACATTAGATGGCTACAAAACAAATGTGATTAAAGGTACAACATAGTCCTGGACCCATTTAACCCAACAAAAGGAAAACAAAATAAACAGAAGTGAACATCCCAAGCCCACATTGTTATGCCTTGCAATACTCCCCCTCAAGGCATAACTCATGAAACCTCGTCTTAGAAAGCCCTTTTGCAAACACAACTGCAATCTATCTTCTGGTAGGCATATTATCATACACACAAGTCTTTAGATACAATCTTCTTTCTAATGAAGTGTTTGTAAAAGAAAGATATCTGAGGCATATATTGACAAACCAAAAAGCTGTTGGAACTCCTCTTAATACTTCTTGAGACAGTATAATAGGGAAATATTTTGAGATTGGTTTAGGCAAAGATCTACAAGGAAAGTTGAATGGACACAAACATGTTAATTCGAATCTGATGGGCATCCAAGATTCTGACTTGTCAAGATGAGAAAATGTGGATTTGTATCTATGGAAAAGTATATAATTCCAATAGTTCATATTTTTTGAATTCTAACATTATATACCTGCATAAAGGGGTATATAATGAAAGCTCCTTGAATTCAATACTATTAATGAATGATTGAATTTTCTCATATTGGTTCTGATATGCTAATTGGGATTATTACTTGATCTAGTTTTTCTTTATTTTGGTCTCATGGAAATTAGTTCCAGTTCTATTTCTACTTGTGCTATATTTGTTTACTTATTGATCTTGTGTCTTCCTCCTTTTCAAATTAATGTTTATCCTGATTGAATTTGTGAATATCTGAACAGGAACAACTTCAAGAACAAGCAAAGTTCTAATAATAAAAATGTCTAATTGTAGAAAGCATATGCCACATGGAATATTGAAAGCTTGGAAGGTTTATTCAATAATGTATTTATTAGTGCTGCGAGGTCCTTTTCCATTCCTATATCTATGTTATATGGAAATAGTTTTTGTTCTAGTCAAGATAGGACCGAGGAAAATGAAAGAAGTTTGTGATCCCTCTTTCTGCATGCTTTGTTTAATACTTTAATAGAATATCTCTGCATTTCATATTTAAATTATTGCTATATGAAGTTTGTGTTGGATCTAGTAAATATTAGCTGATTTGTGTGTAGTGCTTGTCCTCACCTCATCAATTAACAAAGAGATGGTTACTTTTAATGTGGTAAGTACAAAGAATTGGATGTTCAGGGGCTTTATATTGGGTTAAAAGTACTCGTAAGTACAGGCTGATACAAGCTAATGTTGTTGGAGTATCTGATACATTCCCCGTATGTAGTGTATTTAATGCTATTAGTTATTACTAATTACTAATTTCTTTCACTGATTCATACACTTAAGAGAATTCAGATTCAAATTCAAATTATCTTCTCTCATTGTTATCCACTCACATTTTTCATTCAAAAAATAAAAACTCATATTTTACTCCTATTAATTTCTCTTCCATAAGGCCGTAATTAAAACAATCAAACCTAGGTCTCCCATGTGAAAGATAAGAAACCACACCATTATACATGTTCAACAACCTGTTCAAATTAAAAAAAAAAAAGGAAAAAGAAAAGAAAAAGCCATTACTGAATGTTGGTTTCTGCTATTTACGGTCTTGGGAAGAGCCATTACTGGACATGCTCCTGACCTTTGGTATATTCTGCACAAAGTTGTGTCATTCTTAGACCTTTTGTAAATTCTATGATTACAAATCCAGGAATACAATCAGCACGAAGAAGGGAAAGATAGCAATAGAGACCCGACTGAAACCTGCTGGGCACAAAAGAAGTATTCAAGAGCACTGGAAAGCAAATAGCCCGAGAGACCTCTGTGAGTGGCACAAAAGTCAAAAGACACCAAAAAAACTGAGCAACTGCCTCCAACAGACACATCTCATCAAGCCTGAACCTCTCAAGATCGAACCTAGACCAAACTTCAAATCCATCTATACGTGAAGTTTAGGAGAAACCCAATAGCCAAGTCTAACCCAAGAAGTAACCAATGCACAAAATAGCGACCCCTAACTTGTTAAATTTACGTGGGTTTTAAATTTTAACGTTTTTGATATGGCCTTCTCTTCTTGCCTTCTTGGTGTCATATCTCATATCAATAGAAAATTCAAGAAAAAAAAAAAGGAGAAGAAAGCAATCAATTACTCATTAAATGAGATTTATATCGGTTTCTTAAGATATACATGCATATTTCAATTCTTCTTCCATTTACTCTTGATAGTCCATACTTTTATTAAAATATGCTTTTTATTACGTTTTTATTCCTTATTTATGGTCCTTTGAACGTTAGTTTTATTGTAAATGATATACTTTTGGGATATATATAAGTTTCCCTTAGGTATTAGTCCAATAAAAATCTATCCTATATATTATTAAAAATATAAATGAGGGTGTGTGAAACTTTTCTTGACTAAAATACCCATATTTGTTAATTTAGTGTATCACTAATTGGAGAATTGAAAACATAATTTCAACTAATACTTTTCACTTCATTTGATCCCCTCTCATTAAGTCATATATTAAGGTATTACCTCCCATTCTCCCTTATTAAATCCTATATATTTTAGTTATTTTTTGCACTAATAGATGTTATTACTAGGTCTATTTTTAATAATTTTAACAATATAAATCCATGTATTTCAAAACGGACTCATAAACAAAATCATTCTTTCATCCAACTGGTGACTAAGCAATTCAACCATTTGAATCAAATTGGTTAACCCATGAAGTCATAGTTAGACAATAAAATTTTTAAAAGATAAATAAATATAGAAAATTACAAAGAAATATAGGAAAAATTAGACATATTTATGATATTTTTATTAATCAAATTAAAAAATAAGGGTCATAAACAAAAATTATTTTCATTGTTTGGTGGAGATTAATAGTTATATGGGTCAAATGTGTTGACCTTTAAATTCCATAATTAAATAATAAAAATTAATAAAAGATAAAACAAAAAATACATAAAATTTGCAAAAAAGTGGACTCATGTATATTTGTCATATTAAACAAAAAAAAGTGTGACATATCAGAATTATTTTTACACATAGAAATATTAAAAAAATTATAGAAAAAAAATGAACACATCTATAGTTTGACTCCATCCGATCCCAAATTAAAATCTGATTATGATTATATTGTAATATTTATTGGTTTTAATATATATAATTTATATAATTATATTTAAAATTATAAAAATATTATAAAGTATATTATGTATGCATTTATATATTTAATAAATTCAATATATTATATTATATTAATTTATTATATATAAAAGTTGAAAAGTATTTAACTTCTAACTTTTTATTTTATAAATGAATGTGAAGTCCGACTAAAACAAATCCAATTGGATTTCGGATTGGATTCAAATGCAAGTTTTCAATAATCGGATTGGATTTGGATATTGTTCATTCCAATCCGAATTCGATTTCTTTATAGTCCTACAAGCAAGGGGTTCTCTCATATATAACATTCATTCAAAAGTCTAACATTCCAAGGTATAATATGAACAGGTTTAATAAAAGGTTGAGAGTTATAAACAAAAGTGACAAAAAAAATATTTGGCAAATTTCCTAATTTTATTTATGTAATAGCTAGACAACAAGATATCGATAGTTCATTGCTATTCAGTGCCTCCACCATCACTTTTACATTGGAAACAACTATTAATTGATGTCATCCTCTCTGACATGTAAATGACAAAGATTTAAAATCTGTTATAAGCTCTACCTTAATTTGCTCTTTAACCAAACTCACTTTACCAACTGCAACAAAATAATAATAATAATAATAATAATAATAATAATAATAATAAACTATTATAAATACAAAATCCAAAAGTCCCCTTCTTGTCATTCATAAAGCCCCCCATTACATATAATATAAAAACACCATGATATGGCAAAGATGAAAAGCTTAATATGTTATACACAACTATGTCACTATTGGCATTAATATCAAGATTCTATGTATTCATTTTTCCATTAATTTTTATTAGAACCCAATGGGCATGTATTTTAATATTTTTAAAAATAGTGTCATTTCCAACTTGCCATATGAGATATTAAATCTTGCTCTCTCTCTCTCTCTCTCTCTCTCTCTATATATATATATATATATAATACTTTTAATAATATAAAACTCATTTTTAAAAAATGACCCAAAAACAAAACCTTCTTCTATCCATGTGGCAAATAAACAATTCAACCATACAAATCAAATGGGTAAACCCATGATGCCATAATTAAATAATAAAAATATATCTAAAAACAACAAAAATACATAAATTTTATAAAACATTTTAGATACATTGTTTTTATTATTATTATTATTATTATTATTATTATTATTATTATTATTATTATTATTATTATTATTATTATTATTACTATTATTATTATTATTATCACCTAAAACTGTCATGTGCAAAGCATGTGCACACGTACTAGTTCTAAAGAAAGTGGGATAAACCCCAATTTTTCCTAGGTACAAAATTTGTCTCTCAAACCTTTTTTCCTTCTCTTCTTATTCTTCTTCTTCTTTTTCTTTTTCTTCTTCTTCATCCCTTTTCTCCTTTGTTGTAAAATTTCTCGATATCATAGCACTCTCTAGTGGGAGTTTCAACTTACAAGAACATGGATGACTTTTGACATCATCATTGTTGATTGTTGACATCAAAAGTTGTATAATTGGAATTTCTAACAGGTCTTAGAAATCCTAGGGTTTGGTCAGATATGATTTTAGACAATTTTTTGTGTAGGTTCCATATTTGTTTGCCAAGGATTTAGTGTTGTTTAGATTTTTGAATTGGAAAAAAAAACAATTTTAACTTGAAATGAGTTTTAGTGTTGTTTAGATTTTTGAATTGGTGATTCTTGTATTGGGTGAATCGTGTGATATTTCTGAATACACCAAAGGTTGTCTCACTTGATTTTGTGAAGTTTTGAGCTTCCTATAACTTTTTTTATTCCACATATTTGTCGCCCAGGACTCTATTTTATGTTTTGTTTGTACTACAGATTGGTGGTTGTTGTTGGAAGCCACTGTTAGTGTTTATGTGGTGTGTGTGTGTGTGTGTGTGTGTTGTTAGGAAGACTCAATGACAAACACAGAGAAGGCCAAAAACAGTGGTAGTTCTAAAGAGATGCTTGAAAACTTTTTTGGACTTGGTCTAGGAGATCTTAAGTTGAGTGATGATCTCTCACTTTGTCATGTTCTTTATGTTCCTCAACTTTCTACTACAACTCATTTTTTTCCTATTCTCAACAAAATAGTTTTAATGAGTCCAAGAGTTTTTTTTTTTTTTTTTTTTTTTGTAGAATTGTCATTTGGTTCATGTTTCTTTTAGTTCTTTCAAATTTTTATTTCCAAGTTTGTTCCAATCAGTGTCTATGTTTGATCTCCAATGTGAAATATGTCAACTTTCAAAAGCACTGTAAAACAATTTATCACCCAAGCAATACAAAGAGTTTTATTGTCATTACATATTGTGCATAAAAATGTGTGGGGTCCATATTCTCTTGGAAGTATGGGATGTTAGATAGTATATGCCCTTAGCTCCAATCAAATAGACGTACACAAACATTCTATTATGATTAATCTAGGTACATCATTGTTTTGTGTTCAATTAGTGTGTTTTTGTAAATTATTTCTTAAACTAGACACTTATGCGACTTGTGTTAGGATTAGATCCTAAGCATAGTTAGTGGGTGTTTGGATGAAACACTGAACCTAGGTCAATTTTTAGTTATGCCCTGGACCGTGGAGATAGATGGGAAAAAATGGACAGTTGCACTTAAATCCCAGACTTGATTATGAGTGTGTGATTGATAGGATCGTCTTCTTTGTCAGACAAAGTGAATATCAAAGTTTACACTCTCTCTGATGGAAACTTAAACTGTCAATAGTGAATTTCAATTGTATTTAAAATCTGATTTACAAAATGTATTTATATGTTATTATTATTTCATTGAAAAGGTTTGCACATGTTTTAATCTCAGGATCCATTTGAGTAAAGAGTATGACATTGTATTTTGTAGTCAGGGAAGAAGTCCTTCCTTATGAACAATGTTTTGATGATTATGGGCCAA